TCTCCGACAGTTAAATAAAAGTCAACGCCGGAGACCCGGCGGTCAACGGCCGTTGACCGGCCGGAAAAAAATTTCAGGAAAACAAAAATTCAAAAAAAAAAAAAAAAAGTCAACGTCGGAATCTGGCCGGAAAAAAATATTTCAGAAAAAAACTTTATTTTCTGAAAAAAAAAAGTTTTGGGGGTTAATGTGATATATTTGTTTAAATCCGGGGTCAATGTGTAATATTTAAGAAGTTAGAGCATAATGGGTGGAATTGATAAGAATTAGGGTTAAAATTGGGGTCAAAATTGAAATTAGGGTTAAAATTTGATATTTGATGAAATTGGGCTAAATTGGGGTGTAAATCATGAAATTGGAGTTGAATTGGGTTTCAATGAATTGGGGGTAATTTAGTATATACAAAGGAATCTTCCTTATTTGCAAATAAGTTTGAATGGGGTGGATTTATTTGAAAGAGAAAAAAGTTGGATGTCCCTCTTTTAATTAAGTGCCCTTGTCATGGGTTTTTTTGTGATTACCCCTTTTAATATTCACAACGAAGAAAAGGAAATAATAATTCGGATAGACCAATTCCTCGAAGGACGGAGTCAACGCATTGACGATGATACCCCAGGCAGTAGGAGTTGTACCTCAGAAGTGGGATTAAATTATCCCAGGCTGTAGGATAAAGACAGCCGGATAAAAGAGTTCACTAATCAGGACACACAGAAACAGACACAAATCTACGCGGGGGGGAAAATCTCCAATTGTCTGTTCCGTGATTATCGCATTATGTATGATTAAATTAAATTAAATTTTCATGGTGCTTCTAGAATTAATTAAATCAAACCATCCAATGGAAAAATAAAATAAAAAAATCAGGTCGTTTAATTCGAAATAACCCGAAGAAATAGTTTTAGTCCGGGCCGTAATTGATGTCCGTTTTGTCTCACGCAGTAGGAAACCTCGGTCATTTCGTGCTCAACAACAGATGTACGTTCGACTCGATAATAATTGCTTGGTCCATCCGTTCGGCTGTACGTCCAACGTGGTACACTAATTAAATCGCAACGAAATAAATAAATGTAAAATATATAACCGAGCCGAACCAAAAGAGCATATCTACTTACCGATGGCAACTCCATCACGCGGAATGTAGCATGACCGATATTGCTTGTTTAGTTAGCTCTGCAGCTTCCTCAACGGATAGATCGTCGGAATCCAATACGATATGTCATATAACGATTAACTCTGATTCTTGAATCCAAATCAAGAAACAAATAACAAAAGTACACGATAGTATGATAGTTGCTACCAGTGTTCTAAATATCGGTCGTGGCGGCCGATATATCGGCCGCCATATCGGTGGCGGACATAAACCTTTACGATATCTGTGTGGCGGTTTTGAAAATCGGTTTTTTGACAGTGAGGCGGTCCGAGGCGGTCCGAGGCGGTCTGTGGCGGTCTGTGGCGGGTCAAACCGATATATCGGGTCAAATTTCGAACGATATATCGGAAATTTTTATTTTTTTTTATTTTTTTATTAGAAGGAAAATAGGGTGTTTATTTTTTATTTTATTATTTTTTTTAATTCTAATTCATTATCTCTTTCAATTAAACCCAAAATCACCGACCCCGTAAGAAGAACATGACCTTGAAAAAAAAAACACAAAACAATCCACACACCGCGGCGGCATTCTCTATCTCACTATTATTAAACTTTTGTTATGTGATTAGAATATATAAACGATGAGGAGAGAATTATGTTCAATTTTTTTTGTACGTTTTTATGTATTTATAAATAATATTTAGAAATATATTACACTAAATTTAAAAACCGATTTATTTCCGATATATCTCCGATTAATCACCGCCGCGCCGATTTATCGTGTGGCGGTCCCTAACCGCCTCGGACCCGATAACCGATATTTAGAACCTTGGTTGCTACTAAAGAAGATCGTACCCGAAATGCAACGAACTAAAGATGAAGCATAGCCCATTGGGCTCACGGAATATTTAAATTTGTGATTATTTTGTGTGGGCTTAATAACTGCTACGAGGGCCCGGCCCATTCGATTTGGTGCAGTAGTGTTTAATTTTTATGAAATTTAGTGGATTCGAAAAAAAAAAAAAAAGATATTTATATTTGTAATAATATTCTTCATTTTGTCGAAATTCCATTTGAGTTTCAAGTTCGTTGCGGGTTTGATCTTTATGCATATCATCGACCTTAAGGGAAAAGCTTCAAAAAGCTTCAATCGACAACCAATTAGATATTTCGTTTAATATTTTTCGTAAATAATAAATTATTCCACAAAAGGGATATGAAATCTGTATTCACATTGCTAATTAAGCTATGAATTACATAGAACAAACATCAGCATGTGAAATATTGCCAAAATTGCATTACATTACAAGTAGCAACAACTGATCTCCTATATACCCTAATCCTAGGTAATATGACATTAAAAAATAAAAAATAAAAATAAAAAAAGGAAAAAAACACTATGATGAAATGAAAGAATATATGACTCAATTGATCTTCCATGAAAAGAATAAAACTAGCAAGAGAACTTGTTATGGATGGAAAAAAAAGGGGCCAAGCTTCGACTTTTACGAGTTACTTGTTCTGCGTGGGATTCGATCTGCTCGGAGGCACTTTTCGAGCACTCGAGTTCATCCTTTCGTATCGTCTCCTCTCCCTTTCTTGCAAATTCTTGAGAGACTGTGAAGAAAATGAATGCACTATTTTTGGTGATGTAATTGGTGCATTTGCTACAAGGGGCCTCATTGCTAGTGATTCTTGAACATGGAAAACAAGAATCAATAGTGTTAGTGTAAGAAATAGAGCAGCCATTGTTCTGAAATGGGATTTCATTATTGCAAGAAAATTAAGCTTTGAGTAGTGAGATTTAGTTTGTGTGTGTGTGTGTGTGTGATTTGTGGTCAAGTGTTTGTTGGGGATCCTATGTATATGTATATAGTGGGATCATGTGATGCTGATTCTTGTGACTGCTGGCTAAACAATTTTATAATTAGTTAATTAAATAATTAGATATTGGATTTTCAGAGTGGTCATGTGATTAGCCACGTGATTATGGTTAAAGATTCAATTTTTTTAATTTTTTTTTTCTTTCATATTGACAAAGAAATATACAATCTTTAGTGCAGTAGCCTCCAAACTACACTAGAAATGTAAATTGCATTAGAAAGCCATGTTCGATGATCTCGATTTAAAAAGTATTGACAGTGGAAATCGAACTCGAGTCGACTTGAACCTATAATTATTAATTTATTTATTATTTTTAATTGTTCTTTTGGGTGGTTTGTATATGGTGGTCAAGGGGTACATGGGACTTGTTCTTTGTCCTAATAGGTTTTGAAGTATTAAAAAAAGATAAAGGTTGGATCTTTACTAGTTGGCTTTGGTTTGTCTACAATTGGTGATAAAAGGAATCTTTCTTGATTTCTTCAAGAATGACTTGGTTGCTTCTTGAACCTCAAATTTTATTGGTCTAACAATCCATTCTTTAATCAAATGCAAAATGATTCTCTAAATCTTGAAAAAACTAGGATCCTCTTCTTGAAATTAGTAAAACATTAGGTAAAAAGAAAAAGACACTAATTTAGGGCATGCATCCCATGTTGTCTTATCGATCACTCGGTTTATTTGATACTACATCCGGTGAAATACATCAGATGATTTTTAAGCGGTGGTTTAATACTAATTAGTGGTTTTGATTTTGGCAATAATCTTTGGAGTGAAAACTCCGTTATCCTTATTCGGTGCAAATGTTGCTATTCTACATTAGGTGAATTTCATCGAGTTATAATCAACTATATATAAAAAATGTATAAATTATTTACATATTTTGCACACATCCACATGTATGTGTGTGCGATTGTGTGTAATACAATGACGAGTAGCTTTCATTACCTATCCAACTACCAAAAGATCCCATAAATTCTACTACAACCTCATGTGAAGCAACCATGTTAGCTGGCCTTTGCATTTTGGGCATGCACAAACATAACAAACTGACAAATATAACAAGAAAAGAATTGATTGGAAAGATCATACATATTTTTATCAATTGATTTTCCATCTATGTTAAGTCAAGAAAATTGATAAGGGGGTAATAAATGAATTTATATATACACTTTTTTTTTTTTTATTAATTATATATCATTTATTTACTACTGAGTAATGTGTTAGTTCTGTTTTGTATTGAAATTGAAATTTCCACCAGACAGAATATGAAGAATGCTTCTTCTAACTTTGATTATCAAGAGGATTTTACCCAGGTTTGTGTTTTATTACATGTATTCACATTTCTCTGTCTGAATTCTGCTCATTATATATATATAAAATTTACAGTTCTTGGAAGAAGCAAAAAAGGAAGCATGCAAGTATTCTTCAAATGCAGCAGCAGAAAAAGAGGAGTTAGATGGAGAAGAAAAAAAAAGGGCTAAAAAAACATGGAAAAAATCATTCTTTTCTTGGTTGAAAAGTAGCAAATCCACCACCACCGCCTTTCCTAAGGCAATTAGGCGCGGACATGCGTCGGGCCCTGCCGGTGGCGGCAGAGCGGCGGCATCATCCGGCCCCATCGCCGCTCTTTTCAGCTCAACGAGGAGCGTGGAGGAATACGACGAGTTGCCGCCCTACATGTCTCTTGATCATCATCGGCCAAATAATAATAGTAATAGTAATAATAATAATCGGAAGCTTCGTTCTTACGGGCCTGTTTACTTTGTGACGTAGCTACAAAATCACATAACAACGAAATCGAAGTTTTCGTTTTCGATGCCGATAGCAAATCAATCAAATACAATATGTGATTCTTGTAATAGAAAATCATTTTCTTTTTTTTTTCTAATGTAAAAACTCTTCTGTATGAGAAGAAGGGAGAATGTTAATTTCTTCTTCAAAACAGAGAAGCAAAACCTATACATACACATCTCTATATATATATCTAATCTATGCAACAAAACATCATATACTTGAAATTCAATGCTGTATAAATTCAATCAGCCTGTAATAACAACTCCTTGTTCTGGATCCAAATTTCTTGGACTACTGGAAGAAGAAGGATTAACCTTTCGATTATTACCGCTCAATAGCCTCGTTAGCGATCTCAGCCTCGTGTATATCGGAGATTTCGGTTCGTTTTCTTCTTCTTCGATTATTTGCCTTGGAATATCAATTGCCAATATTCCATCAGCCCTATTATTATTGTTATTGTTCAATGATGACGCAATTGATGACGTCACTGATGATGATGATGAAGAAGAAGAAGCCCAAAACAACACATTGGTCGGGAAATTTGGGGCTTCTGTTGGATAAGTGTTGGCACTTGAAATTGAAATCGAATTGTTATCCGCCATTAACGGAGGAGCTTGAAGAATGCTCTCCCAACGCCGCCGATTCGCCGGCGGCGGCGGCGGCGGAGGATTTGGGATTGGAGATAGGGTTTCTGCAAATAGGGCAAGTGGAGTGGGAATGGAGCCACATGTCGATACATTCAGCGTGGAAGCCATGGCTGCATTTGGGCAAAACCCTAGCCTTTTCGCCTTCGGAAACCTCGCACAGGCACACGGCGCACTCCAACCCGTTTTCGAACTCCTTCGGGTCGAACACGACGACCGGTATGCTCTTCAGGACGCTCGGATCCAGGCCGCGGCGGGCGGCGGGAAGAATTACTGTAATTTCTCGGTGTCCGGCGGCGAAACTGAGGCGGCGGCGCCGCCTGGTTGTGGTGGTGGTGGTGTCTGACGATGATGATCTCTCCTGGCGGCGCTGCCAGAACCACCTGGCGTAGATGTGGAGGGAGAAGGCGAAGACTACTACGAAGAAGAGGAGCAGAATCGCAACCACCATTATCTTTCCGGTGAGCTCAAACAAACCAGTGTTGCTATTATCATCTGATGATTCCCCCATTCTTTTTCTTCTGGTTCAAGCAGTTGAAGAAAAGAATCAAAATGGGATCTTTAATTAGAAAAAAGAATCACATATATTATATATATATATATGTAGAAGAAATACAAATACAGGGTTGTGAGAAAAATAGCAGTCAGCGGAGACTTTTACAGGTAAATGAAGCTTACACGGCGGCGTTTTGAATGGGGGACTTTTCTATTGACTAATATTATATTAATTAATTAACATATTATTATGGTGGCTTTCATGAGTTTGGCGGATGGGGCAAACTACCTTTTTTTTTTTCTTTTTTTTTTTTCTTGAGAGTCAGGGCAAACTACCTTAGTTTGACCATTATGTGTTATTATTCCAATTTGTGGTTTAATCAAACTTCTCTTCTTTGTTTTTTTCCTTCTAGTTCTTTTTTTGGTTGAAAATTCGGAATAGTTTGTTCAACAAGCATGGTATGTTGCTGAGAAGAAGTTGCTCGGACGGACACCGAAGTTAGCACCTGACTCTCAAGTTAGAAAAGATAGTAGTATATTTTGTGAACGAATTAAGAGATACGTGTGGTATGAAAAACGTATCGTCTTTCCAACGGGATGCATACTTACTTATAAGGGTAAATTACACCGACACCCCTGAGGTATGCTAAAATAACTTATGGGTAATTTAAGAAATGTTGGGAGAACCATGTCACCCCCTAACTCTATGTTATCTCCACCACTAGTTAAAGTAATAGTACGTTAGAACTGTATCGGAATAATGCATCCAATGCATTATCCCATTAGAGTTTCTAACTATGTTTTAGGGGGTAAGTGTAATTATCGAAACTACGGGGACCTTAAAGTTATTTTAGCATACATCAGGGGTGTGGGTGTAATTTACCCTACTTATAATACTTTCAGTCGATCCTCAAGACTTTCCGAAATCGGGGCGAACTCATACTCATCGTCGTGTCTGTTATCTCTCTTGTCAGTCCACACCCTTACACGGGTAACCAATCCATGCCATCATTCTTGGCTAATCAAACGTCGTCGTTTTCTTGTCTTCGCGTAGATTGCCCCTTCGCACATTTCCCTTCGTCCTTTCCTTCTTTTTCGCTTGTCAACGATCACTTGGTCATTAATGATGGTGTCAGTGCATTTAATGCGCGGACATGCGTGCAGCTTGAGCCGGGTGAGATCGTCCATACTTTTCCCAATATCTGTCAAAATCATTAAATAGGTGTGCAGAGTTCGTCGTGCCAAACGCCAGGTATCCCTCGGCCCTCCCTTGCTAGTGCATGTCACTCGCTTGGCTATTCTGTCGAGGGAGGGGTCTTTCACATGCGTTGCTCCTCCGGATGGGCCTCTCCTTTGGGTGGCGCCTCTGGGTGAGTCCTAGCAGGCTGAACTCTATTCAAGTGGGCTTAGCGTCTTGGTCCGGATCATTTTTCAAAAAAGGAAAACAAAAAATAAATTAGTGTAAAAATAGAAAATCACGTGAAATACAAATGCTAGTATCTTTCATTCATTAGTTTGAATGTTTCTTCCTTTTAAACTTGTTTAAATGAAATTTATTTTCATGACTAGAGATATTTGCACTATGTAAATTACTCCCAATTCATCGAATTGTATTCAACTACTAGAATAATTAGGCACGTGTTGCACAATTATTTATGCATGCCTATCAATAACATAGTGAACTGAAATGGCTTCAAGGGTAGTTTCGACATTTTCGAGCTAGTGTAGTGTTTCACCTCAATAGTTCTTTTGGGCCAGGGTTTCTCCGCGGCCCGGCCCACGAGTCCCCTTTTTCTTTTCTTTTTTCGTTTTTCTTTTTATTAATTAAATAAATTTTTCTTCTCTTTTCTTAACTTAATTTCCTGTCTTAGGAAATAAAAAGAAATATAGAAAAAAAAAATGTATCATTATCCACCACCACCAGCCATAAACACTGGTTGTGTGGCTCACTCACCGCTTTCGCTTCACTCCATCAAAGGTTCAATCTTTTCTTTCTTTCACAAACAAGACTTCATATTGCAGCTATATAAGGTTTGCATGTAATAATAATCTGTTCAACAGATCTTTATCTGAAAAACAGTGCGCCGAGCTCAGCCTTCTGAATTAATGAGCTTCCCATGCCTTTATTAGGTACAATTCTTATCTTTTTGTGGGCCTTCTTTGATTTTGTCTTATGATGCTCCTGTTCTTTGATATGGTGTGTGGCATTTTCTTGTTTCTTGATTTTGCTGTCTTATATTCTGTTTTTTTTTTTTTTGTAAGGTGGTGTTTTTGTTTTTGTTTTTGTTGTTGTTGCAGATATTGCTACTTCACAGGCTTGTTCTTGTTTCCTGAACAATATATTAGCATTTAGGACAAAACCCAACTTCCATAACAGAATTCTAGTTAAAAATGATAGGGTATTGGAATTGGGAACTGCATTTTCTTGGAAAAGTTTTTGTGTCACTGAGAAATTGCTGCATAAAAATTCAATCTTGGGGGGGTTCGGCTTATCGAGAGGCAGGTTGACGATAAATGCCGTTGCTACCCTCGAAAACCCTAGTGTTGCCAAGAAAAATGAAGGGGTGAAGCCGAAGGGGTGTAGTAAAAACATGTTGAGTAATGTGGATATTGATTCGGTGAGTTCGAATTCCACGTCGTTGGAGCCGCAAAAATCTTCGTGTGAGGAATCGTCAGAACTTAACGATAGAGAGGTTTTGAGGCGGATGAGGATTTCCAAAGCGAATTCGGGGAAAACACCTTGGAATAAAGGCAGGAAACACAGCCCGGGTAACTATATATTTCAAATTTTTTTTTTGTTGTTTTCTGGATTTCACGGTGTTTGTGAGCTTCGAACGTGTTTGTGAGCTCCGGTTTGTGAGCTTCGGACGATATCGAACTATGTTCTTGAATATTTTGCAGAGACCTTGCAGCGGATCAAAGAGAGAACCAGGCTTGCAATGCAAAATCCTAAGGTGATTCTTGAATTTTTGAAAGAAAAAAATAGTTTTCAAGATTCTAAGATCACGAACAATGTAATTGCGGGGCTCGTAAAAGCAGGTCCTTTGTTCTATGATTATATACAAACCCGCATTTGCAGCTGCTGACTGGTTACTTTTTTATCGTTTTTTTCGATACGCAGGTCAAGATGAAGCTACAAAACTTGGGGCATGCTCAAAGGTTGGTTCTTGCCGTTTCCATTCGCTTTAACATTTGGCTATATTCTGTCTTTTGGGTCGTATAAATGGATCTGTGCACGAGTATATTCTAGACGGAAAAGGCCAAGATACATTGCAACTCTCGAGCCATTCACCGAAAACTACAGTTCTTGAATTAGTCAATATTTTCCTAAATCTTGTGATGACCCTATACATGCACCTCTTATTACAGCGACGAAACGAGGATAAGAATCGGAGTGGGTGTTCGACTAGGGTGGGGAAGAAGAAGAGAGAAACTTATGGTGCAAGAAACGTGCCACCATAAGTGGCAGGATCTTATTGCACAAGCCGCCCAAAAGGGTCTTTTCGGTGAGGAGGAGTTGCAGTGGGATTCTTACAAGACAATGGACGAACACCTCGAGCAAGAATGGCAGCAGAGCGTTGAGGAAAGAAAGAACAATCCGAGGGCTAAAGGGAGCAAAAGAGCACCGAAATCCCCCGAACAAAAGAGGAAGATTGCAGAAGCTATATCCGCCAAATGGGCCGATCCTGTAAAGACTTAATCTTGATCTTTCAATTAGCTAGTGCTCGTAATATTTATCGATTTACGAGTTTTTTTTTTATAATCTTTTTAATGCTGTTGTAGGATTACCGTAATAGAGTTTGCTCCGGTCTGGCTAAATTTTACGGAATATCGGAGAGGGTTGAGAGAAAGCCTAGGATAATAAGGCAGAGTGGTAATGGTGATGGACAAGCTCGAAAACGACGGTCCACAAATAAAGATGAGAACTTTCATCTTGGAAAGCGCGAGACGAAAGGCCAAGTTCGGTCAAAGAGGCGTAAACCGCCGCTTTACAAGGATCCGTTTGCAAGTTCGAAACTTGAGATGTTGAAGAATATCAGAGCGCAGAGAGCTTCTTCTGTGAGCAAGAAAAGTGAAGCCATCTCCATGGCAAAGTAAGTTCACATTTTATTTTATTTTTTTCCGCAAAAAAAACGACTTTTTTCTTAAATGCAAAATATTAAAAAAATTAAAAATCCGTAAATAATCACAGGTTGATGATTGCCGAAGCTGAAAAAGCGACCGAGGCGCTTGAAATAGCTTCCAAGAACAGCCCTAGTGTTCATGCATCTTTAATAGAAAGCAGGTTGTTAATTGCCGAAGCAATTCAGTTTATGAAATCAATCGAGAACGACGATGAAGAGGATCCGATTATTTCCTCCGAAAATGGCAATGGCAATTGTTTTTCGGAGAAACCAATCGAAGTAGAAGGAATAGATTCGGATACTCGTCAAACTATAAACGGAGTTCACAGCTTAGTGAATGGAAAAACGAGTTGTAACGGTTTTCATTCACTTGGATTGGAGAACGAAACGAGTCTCTTCGATTCGGCTAAGTATGCTGAGGAGAGTCGAGATAAGTTATTTGAAGAAGAAGAAGCTGAAAAACAAGTGAAAGTGATCAAGAAATGGGTTGCAGGGAGGTTGGTTGAAGTTGTTGAAGAGACATAGTTTTGATTTTAAGTTATTTTTTTTTTATAAATAGATATAACTCATCATACTTTTTTATCCCTTTTGCTAGGGAAATTAATATAGAGTGTATTTTTTATTGTATCCAAATTTTGGTGTCAAAGAGTTCAAAGTATAACTTCAAATTTGAAGTACAAATTTGTCTTCGTGATAAATTTACATTCTATCCAATTAAAGCACATCTTTTTTTGGTAAATTACGGCACCTGAAGTAATGTCAAATTATGAAAAAACCTGTCTTGTTTGGGTAATTACAACCATCTCCATCAACTATGAATCTTCTTACACGTACACTCTTGCGGTCAAGTTTAGTGGAATCTTCTAGATTATGTGGAATGTTCTTCAGTTTGTACCCGTTTTACACCATTCGAGCTCCGCATGCATTTCGAAACATGATGATCATAAGATATGTCTCTCGGACTTGTAAATATTAGATCGTAGTGAATCAGAAACTGTCTTTTTGTACAAAACGAATACAAACTATAGAACATTCTACATAATCTAGAAGATTATGTTGAATTTGACACCATAAGGATAAACGTGTAAGAAGATTCATAGTTGATGAATAATATAATTTCCCAAACATATGTTGTTTTTTTTGTAATTTAACATTACTTCAGGGGTAACCGTAATTTACCAATTTTTTTGGGTTTGATAAAGGAATTCCCAATGCAATGCATTTTGCACATAGTTTCATGTACTAGACAATCCTCATTAGTCATTAGTATACTTTTGATCGATGTTATCAGAACCGGACCGAACACAAAATCAGATAAGTATTCGGGTCACGGTCGAACCGGTTCAACCGAGTTCGACCCGGGTTTTTTATTTTTTAATTATTTATCAATTTTAATATTTAAATTTATATTTTCTATACATGCTATTTTATTTTTCACACTCTCTTCCCTTTTATTATTAACTTTTTAAATATGTAAACTATTTCTTTTATTATTTTCCACACCCATGTTTGCTTATATATTTTTATACTTATTTTTTTCTATCCTTTCTTCACCTTCTCTCCTCTTATCACCTCTACCCACATACCTCCCTCTCGTCTCTCTCCCCTTTCTCTTTTTTTCTTTTTCTTTTTTCCTTTTTTTTCCCATCTTCTTCTTCTCTTTTATCCAAAAACACAATCTGTTTCAATCACCCACGACCCAAACTCGTGGAATTCCGCCACCCACGGCCTACTCCACTCAGATCGGGCCACCTCCGGTGAATTTTGCGGCAGATCCGACCACTAACACCCACCGTGAAGTGTTTTAGATAAAAACCCGGGTCATTGACCGGTTTTCGGGTTCGCCGGGTTTTGCCGGTCGAACCGGGTTTTTTGCCATTTGACCCGGGTTCTAGAATATCCCGGTATTCAGAGTCAAACCGGACCGCTTTTGTGGCGGGTCGCGGTCGGACCGGTTCTTCTAACATTGCTTTTGATACCACACTCCCTATTTTAAGCTTTGCTTACAGTTAGCTCGTCATAACCCATTAAACAATTTTCATATTTTCATTAAACAATTTTCATATTTTCTTTTTCTTCTCCATTTATCTATAATATATGTAACGAAACACCCATTATATCCCTTCTCCCAATCTATAATAATAGTTCTCAGACATGTCCGAATCTTCCCAAAATTATTTAACGAAGGGCAATCCAGACATTTTGATACTTAAAAGTATGAGTCCAGTATCCAAAGTACACACGAAAATAAAAACATAGACAAAAAATTAATTGGGCCGAAGAGTAATACACTTCGGCCCATTTACTCTTGTTTTGGGCCACCAGCCGAAACTCAACCCACGTGCATCGCACGTGTCGCCTAAGCTTTGTTCTCACCTTTATAATATCAGTCGCCTCTGCTTCTTGTCCAAGAAAACCTTCTTCATAAATATTCCCCCAAAAGAAAACCTCGAAATTAATTCGACAATGGCACCCGAACCAGAAGACGAGATCAAGGACGAGAAGAACCCTAGGCCTCTCGACGAGGACGATATTGCTCTCCTCAAAACCTATGTACTGTTTTCCCTTTTTCAATTTCTTCAAACGAGGATTTTATTTTTTTCTTTCTTTCTATAATTCCTGCTCTGAACCTAGGAATATACTGGGCTTCTTCCCTTTGTTCGTCTTCTTGAGTGATAATTAGGATCTATGATTTGGTTACTGAGCAGGAACTTTATTTGTTCATTATTTAATTTTTGAAATGGAAGATTGAGCTAGGGTTTTGAGTTTTATGTTAGTGTAGCTTAGTTTTCTCTCCCAAAATGTGGGTATATAATTTTCTTGCTTGGTTTTTGCTAATGTGGATCTGGATTGGGTATTCCCAAATTTATTTTGGTTTTAATTAAATATAATTAGCTGAGAGTGTCCAGTAGCATAAATTGCTTTGTTTTGTTAATTTTGCCTGCTTGTTTTTATTTGAAATTATATTTTTCTCGAATCAATTTCGTTTTAGCGGATTACTTTTTATGAGCTTATGTTTTTAGGAATTTGAGTTCATGGCAAATACCTGTACATTCATGAATTATGGTGGATTTTTGCTTGTACTGAGTTCATGAAATGATTTGTACAGGGCTTGGGACCTTATTCGACCAGCATAAAGAAAGTTGAGAAGGAAATTAAGGAGATGGCGAAGAAGATTAATGATTTATGCGGTTCGTTTCTTAACCCTGTTTTTGTTTGCAAATTATTTTGAACTAAGAATTGACTGTTAACTTTAGTTCGTTATGTAGTATCTATTTATCTACCGTTAGATGTGGCTGTACACTCATTTTTCGTTTCTATGTAGCATAGCATACGTATCCATAAATTCGTTGCTGCTTTATGCCATTGTACTTTATGAATGGATGTAATTTGTTTACATTTCTCTTCATTAGGTATCAAGGAATCTGACACTGGTTTAGCTGCACCTAGCCAGTGGGATCTTGTATCTGATAAGCAAATGATGCAGGAGGAACAACCTCTTCAGGTAAGGCACTTTTTTTTGTTGTTGTTGATTGATAAATTTATTCCCGTGCATCGTTTTTATATGTTAGTAGTATATAATTAGTTGTTGTTACTAGGTTGCAAGATGTACGAAGATTATTAATCCAAACACTGAAGATGCAAAGTACATTATCAACGTGAAGCAAATTGCAAAGGTATGTTAGTTTGTCGTTTTGCTGTAATGTTTTCCTAGGAATTGAGTTTTTTTTTTCTTGGAAGAGGAAGATATTATGTTTTGTTCCGTGAAAAAAATATAAATAATAAGGGGAAGGAGATAGGATTTGTCTTCATTTATTTGCAAATGGATACCAAATGGTTAAAGTAATTTTCTCTTATGGAGCTATGTTTGTTGTCCAATATGTTTTTTGCCTAATATGTGCACATTTGCTTTTCCAGTTTGTTGTTGGATTAGGCGATAAAGTTTCACCTACTGATATTGAAGAAGGCATGAGAGTCGGGTAAGCTTGTTCGACTTGGTTTCTCTTTGAATCTTCTTTTTGCTGCAGGGCTTATGGATTTTTCAAGAATGTGCAAATCTTTTTATTTGTATGATGATGAATAAACACTGTACCATATATTATGTAGAAAATAATGAATCAACGTACGATAACCTCTTAATTTTCTAGAACCCCGTAGCAAAGGGAGGAAATTAAAATTAACGAGAATATGAAAATATAGAAGGCTCGGAAAATGTAATCCCTTGATTAATAGAACTAATTTAGAGCTTTTGACTTGCATATAAATGATCTCTGAGAATCCAGATACCACACTGTTGTCATTTCTTGAGCTCTTGCATGCTTTGGTTTTGTGGAACGTCGAAGCAATTTTGTCTTGTTCCGTCTGACTAATGTTTAACTACGCATAGCTTGTCGTAACTATGAAGTACCTTTTCAATTTTCTGTTTCTTCATTTGATTAAGTTTACCTGTACCTTTAGCTTTCCTTATGAGTGATGATAACAAAAATTCAGGAGCAGCTTTATGATGCTCGATATATTAGGCTTGAGGATTTTTTTTTAATTACTGCTACTGTTTGGCAAGCTTATTATGATATATAGTTTAAAACATGCTTCATTATTGCAGCGTCGACCGCAATAAATATCAAATTCAGATTCCTCTGCCTCCAAAAATCGATCCAAGTGTTACGATGATGACTGTGGAGGAAAAACCTGATGTTACCTACAATGATGTTGGTGGGTGTAAGGAGCAGATTGAAAAGATGAGAGAGGTGTGTTAAGTTTCTCTATTTTTACTTCTCAAATTATGTGATAGAATCTCTTGAATGCTGATATATAATTGTTTTTTTTACTAGGTTGTCGAGCTTCCCATGCTTCACCCTGAAAAATTTGTGAAGCTAGGGATCGATCCACCCAAGGGTGTACTGTGCTACGGTCCACCGGGCACTGGTAAAACACTGTTAGCCAGAGCTGTGGCTAATAGAACTGATGCATGTTTTATTCGTGTTATTGGAAGTGAGCTTGTCCAGAAGTATGTCGGTGAAGGAGCTCGTATGGTTCGTGAGCTGTTTCAGGTAATCCTCGTCACATTTTTTCAATGTTTGGTTTGTATATTTTTTGAGTGCTAATTACAGTAGAAACTGAATTTTGATATTTGTCTTATTTGTTATGTGGCAGATGGCACGTTCGAAAAAAGCTTGCATCGTATTTTTTGATGAAGTGGATGCCATCGGAGGTGCACGTTTTGATGATGGTGTGGGTGGAGACAATGAGGTCCAGCGCACCATGCTTGAGATTGTTAACCAGCTCGACGGATTTGATGCCCGTGGAAATATCAAAGTACTAATGGCGACCAACAGGTTGACTTTTGACTTTTTCCGATTAGCCTATTTTTACGTTTAAGATTGTTAATGGGGTCGAGCAATCTGTTTTCTCTTTGTGAGAATGTATTTTCGTTTTTTATATTGCTGTCTTTATCGAATCAATTTTTTGTTTTTAAAAACAGTTTTGCTTATTTTCAATTTTTTTTTAAAACTATTCCAGGCCCGATACTCTTGATCCGGCACTGTTACGTCCTGGAAGGCTGGATCGTAAGGTGGAGTTCGGACTACCTGATTTGGAAAGCAGGACACAAATATTCAAGATTCATACACGAACAATGAACTGCGAGAGGGATGTTCGTTTTGAACTTCTTGCTCGTCTTTGCCCCAACTCTACTGGTAAATAATTTTCTCATATTTTACAATTGTCACATTATACGAACTTCAGTCAGCTTTCGAAGAATAAACCGAGTGATATATTTTGGATATTGCAAATGGTTGATTCTCTCTGTTTTTTTTTTCTAAAACCAGGAGCGGATATAAGGAGCGTGTGCACTGAGGCAGGAATGTATGCAATTCGAGCGAGGAGGAAAACGGTGACGGAGAAAGATTTCTTGGATGCCGTGAATAAAGTGATCAAAGGGTATCAGAAATTCAGCGCAACTCCGAAATATATGGTTTACAATTAATTTTACCGTTTTCCGTTGTATCTGAATATTGAATTTCGTGTTTGTAATATGGCAGTAATTAGGTTGGATTTTGTCACTTGTTTGTTTACCTGATAAAACGCTGCAACACATTTGTTTTCTCAGTTGCAAACTTTTCTTGTACTGATTTTTTTATTTCAGTTTCAATTAAACCTTTTCAATCTATTATTATTCGATGTTTGATGATTTCAGAATCAGTTTATGGTAATTTGCAATTTGCTAAGAAAGTGATGTAGTCAAAATACGCCATAAGCCATTTAGTTTGTTTATATTTCAATTTAAGATTTAATATTAAATAAAAAGGAAAAATATATTTTGTTTTTGAATAGATTGCTTCATAATAAACTATTATGAAATTACCATTTCATAATTAATATATATGTATTATTTTTCAAAATACTTGTGTAAATCCAAACTCTGGAGTTTGGACCATACACCGGTCAAAAAGCGTGTGCAAAACTGGATTGGATTTGCACAATTTGCTAACCAACTCAATTATTTTCTTCACGTTTCTAAATTACTTTTTTTTTTTTTTTTTTACCTATGTAAAAGTCTATTTAAATAAATAAAATTGTTATTTAAATTGTAATTTTCAGAATAAAATTTTGAACATTAAAACTAGATCACAAATTGGAATCTTATATACGTAAATGAAAGTTTCAATTTGAATACAAAATCTTAAAATCAGAAAAATATTATTACCAAAATTTTAAACAAACGATAAAACCAAAAAGAAAAAAAAAAAAAAAAAGAAAGAAAAGTAGTTTCAGTTGCGTATAATAGAAGAAGGCCAAGGTTATGTATAAGCAAAGCCCATAATGCAATTTGCCAAAATAACAAATTAAGCCCATAAATTAAAAAACCACGATGATGCAATAAAAGTAAAATGACGCATGTAACCCTGAAACCCCCAGTCTTGTTACTACAGATGTGCATGCACACACATTCCAAAGTTCCCACGCGCGCGCGTGACCCTTTCCAACTTTTTTTTAACTCCAGATGCGTGCTATAAATTCGCATTCATTCTTCTCTAGATTATTATTACATAAATAAATCCATCATTACTACTACTTTTGTTTCTTTGTTTCTTTCTTTTTGATATATATAAAACCAGAAGAAGTAAAAGAGAAACTCATTACACACCACAATCGCCACCAAAATGGCTGGTAATGCGGCGGCGGCGGCGGAAGAGTCCGGCGATTTCGATTTCCTGATCGTGAGCCATGAAAATGGTGGGATTCTTGATCTGTTCAAGTTCCTGGCTTTTAACAACCCAGATAGTGGTGCGAAGTTTCTCAAAACTTTTCGCGGCGGCGGCGGCGGCGGTAGGGCGGTGGTGCAGGAAGATGTACTATTTGGCGATGGCGATCACAGGTGGGTGATAGTTGTTTCTATTATTGTCAGGAAAATTATTAAGGTTCTCGGCAAACCCATGGAGTGGTTCGGCTATGTTGTCGAGTTCTTTCTCAATCTCTTGTCTCTCAATGGCAACTTCCTCGGTTTGCTCTCCAATTTTCTCCATGGTACCAATCCTCAATTGACTCACCTTTTTTCATCATGTCTAATCATGCATATCAACTGTTTGATTATAATCCCCAACCAAAGTTGCATGTGTCAAATTACTCTCTCTTGTTTTTTTTTTTTTTTGTGTGTCTGTCTAAACTTTGGTGCATAATGAGATTCTTGCGGCTAGTGGTTTACAGTTTACTGATGCTGCATTAATTAATTTTAGAGTGTTATTAATTGGGTGTTGGATGACTTTTGTTTAACATACAGGAAAAGTTGTAATGCCGAAAAGGGGTTCCGATACATTCATAAGTGCAATAGGGCATTTAGATGGTCGTATAGACCTGTTCAAGATGGAGTCACCCTCGAACGAAATTAATCAAAATGAATTAGATATAATGACCGGAAATCGGGCCCTAATGGACCTCTGTATGATGGCTTCCAAATTATCGTATGAGAATGCTAAGGTTGTCAAGAATATCGTAGATCTTCATTGGAAGGTTAGATTATATTTATGCCTCCGTAAATAATGCACCACCATGTATACGGTTGTAGATAATGTGTAATAACAATCTCGTATTTTGTTTCAAGCAGATGCATTTCGTGGACTTCTACAACTGCTGGAATGGTGAGAACTTATACATTAACTTTCTATTGAGGTGGACGCAAAATAAAAAAAACTCTGTTTTTAATATGTTTTTTCAGATTATCAAAAAGAGAGATCGACCCAAGTTTTCATAATGTGCGATAAGCCAAAAGATGCGAACTTTATACTGGTTAGCTTCAGAGGCACAGAGCCGTTCGATGCTGATGACTGGATCACCGATTTCGACTACTCATGGTACGAAATACCTAAACTAGGTAAAGTGCACATGGGGTTTCTAGAAGCTCTAGGTTTAGGCAACAGGCTCAACGCCCCGACATTCCAAGCCCACCTTCAATCAAGAAAAGTCAAACCTTCCAATTTAAACGGTGGCGATTCTTCTAAATCTCATCTTTCATCACCCACCGTCGGATCAAGCCAGTCTTCCGATTCAGCAACAGAGGAGGAGGAGGCTCTCGTGCCTGTAATGGGAGGAGAAATGACTGCATACTATGCTGTTAAAAGTAAGCTCAAGGAATTGCTCGAAGAAAACAAGAACGCGAAATTTATCGTCACGGGCCATAGTTTGGGTGGGGCCCTCGCAATATTATTCCCCACGGTGCTAGTTCTGCATGGAGAGGAGAAACTGATGGAACGGTTTTCGTGTGTCTACACTTTCGGACAACCTAGGATTGGTAATGGTGAGCTCGGTAAATACATGGAAGCCCATCTCGAAAAACCCGAGCCCAAATACTTTAGAATGGTGTACTGTAATGATCTTGTTCCGAGGTTGCCTTACGATGACAAAACCTTCTTGTATAAGCATTTCGGCGTGTGCATATACTACAACAGCCTCTATATCGAGAGAGTAAGCAATGTTTACGTTATTGGTTAATTAAAAAAAAAGGTCGAATTATGTAATGTATACTAATTTATATTTAACTGCATGCAGAAAGTGGAAGAAGAGCCGAATAGGAATTACTTTGGATGGAGGTTTCTGATTCCGGAGTATTTGAATTCGGTGTGGGAATTGGTGAGGAGTTTTGTAACGGGATATGTGTACGGATCGGAATACAGGGAGAGCTGGGAATCGTTTATGCTGAGGGTGGTGGGATTAGCAATTCCGGGCCTTTCTGATCATAGTCCGGTTGATTATGTGAACTCGATAAGGCTTGGAAGAAGGAGAAGCGTTGAAATGACGTCGTTTTGAATGGCTCTAAAAATAAATAAATAAATAAAATAAAATAAAGATATGTAGTTACTGATGTGTTATTTGTGGCCGGGTTTTGAATAAAGATTTCTCCTTTTGCTTTTTTCGTGTGATTTTGTACGGTTTGTAATACAAACTTCGTGATTCTTCTTCCCCGGTTGCTGGAATAACGAGAAAGGAATATTGAGTGAATATTCTGTCAAAATGAGAAACTTGGAAATTGTAAATAAAAATTTATAAATTGAGAATTACTGGTAATAATTCATTAGTGTTATATTGTTATTTTGTAGCAGAAACTGCTCAAGTGTTCATTTCCATGTCGAATAAGGCACTCGACTTCGTAAACTCCAACCAGCTTTCTGTGCAATGTGTTTTGATTTGCTTTGAACCGATTTCTCCAGGTCTCTCTCTCTCTCTCTCTCTCTAGATCTCTCTCTCTCAAAACTCTCTACGAACTTCATAATGTGGATTTCACCATTATTATCAATCATGTTAATTGATGTGCTGAAAGAGATTCAGTATTTCAAGAAATTCAATTAAGTAGTTGGCGTTCCGGTTATTAGTATATATTCGCATATGGTTAGTCTCGTTTATTTTCCATCTAATTTGACGGTTATTTTTTATTAAAATTTAATTACTTTAGGTTCGACGGAAAACTGAAGAACACGAATGATCGATCATGTACTTTTTAGCAGGTCCTGTCACACACATATTCACATATGTGTTTTTTGGTCACATTCTTGATTTTGCTTACTAATTATTTAAATATCTAGACTTTTAATGGGAAAATACATGTGCTTTTGTTAATGTTTTATCTTATTAATATCTAGAAATATCATAATTGAACACTGAAAATGTGAATTTATTTGATGTTGATGCACTCAGGTAAAATTTCAATGTGTTATTGTGTATATTGATAATCACTCATTATGCACACACCAACATGTGTAGCATCTACAAAACCGAAAAAAAATGTGTAAAACACAATGTAATTAATACGACGTGGTTTGGTGTTTAACGAATCGTACTAATAAATACCAAATTATTACACAAATTAAATCAACTTCCTAATAAATTGTCCTAATAATGAAATTAAGTAGCAAGACAATTGTCTTAATAAATTAAAGTTGATGGAATGTTCCTGGAAACAGACTCTCCACTTGATTGAATATTAAAAAAGAAAATAAATATATATATATATATATATATATATATTGATGCTATTAACCGACATTTTTTTAGGTTGAGTTCGTCGCATATAATTAACCGATCAATAACATCTGTATAATTTGCGAGTTCACTTCTGATATTAAAAAAAAAAAGTTGATAGCTCCAAATCTATTGGGATTCGTTTGCTTAAATGTAAGTGACGATCATGGAAAATATCTCAGTAAGAATCAAAATCACCGACCATATTTCATATTCTAATATTTTTCAACAAGGGTTTTTTTACTATTTTTTATTTATTTATTATTTATTATTTATTATTTATTATTTATTATTTATTTATGATTCCAAAATTGGATAAATTAGTCTGACAGTGTTTCATTAATTAATCTTATCTTATTAATTTCGAAATTGTTGCATTTTAATTTTAATGTAAAATATATCTGTTTGATGGGATCTACTGACGATCCGGTTTCATCAAGTTTCATTTTTTTTTTTAATCAAAAATAGTTAAATTAATATACAAGTGGAAAAATCTTATTCTAATATTTTTCAAGTAGGGTTTTACTATTTTCTTTATTAAATATTTTATTATAAGAAAAATTAACTTACAAGCCATCCAAACACTGCGCAAACAGTCTTTACGTAACAACTTATCGGATGCGAGATTTTATCGGGTGTTTAAAATAAGTTTAGCAAAACACCACCCTCAAGTCAATTAATTTTAGTCGAGTCACTCTATCACGCTACGGGGGTCGATCAATTAATTTATGATCGAGTAAAATGATTTAAATATGTTGAATTAATTGTAAATGAGTCGATTCAACTGAAGATCGAAGGCAAACGAGCCGTCGCTTGAACCGTAACGTTTCAAGGGTTTTGGAGGCAAGAGTCACTCAACAACCATCTTAAGTTAATTAAGGAATCATAAAACTTTGTTAGTTAATTAATTTTGAATGCTTCTACAAGACATTAAAAAGTAATTAATTATGTCAAAATACCTTGAAAAACACAATTAATATCTCATTAGAGAGAATCATGATCTTGATTAGCATTAATTCACAGCTGGATTAGTATCTTAAGATTAAGAAATAAAAGAAGAATATATATATATTTGAACAAGTGAATCTATAGGGATTTGAAGCTGTCTGAAGATCAAATAACTTTGGTTTAATTGGTCAGAAATATAACACAAAGATCATCAAATCTCACACTACACATGTCAAATATCAGAATTTCAATCTTCTTCTTGCTTACGTCCTACATTTAAAAAAAAAATAAAAGAAGACTATTATAAAATGAATATTGAATATTTAAACTATTTACTTTCGTTTATAAAAAAATAATTACATTAGCTTCTCAAAAAATAATAATAATACTCCCTCCGTTCCTAAATAGGTGTCGTTTTTCACCTTAGCACAAATCTTAAGAATCTCAATAAATATGTCTTGATTTTAGGAAAATAGATATTGATAGACCAAAATACCCTTGTTTATTAATTAATACATGAAGAGTGGTATAGAGTTAATAAGGGTAAAATTGAAAAATAAGCAATTAATGCCGCATTGGAATTGTAAAGTGACAGATAATATGGAACAAAATAAATTCTCAAAAGAGACAGATATTATGGAACAGAGGGAGTAATAAATTAGGCCGACAGCTTATTTATTGAAGAGAATGGACAGAAGTTAGGGGATATGTCACAAAGTTTCGGGACAAAACCGTTATTAACAATCTGGATTATTTTGTATAATTTATTTAGATATATCCCGGTTTGTTTGTTGCTACATCCGATCCGGTGAAATACAGCGGGTGGTTATTAACCGTTGATCTACATACAATTACACACACCCATGTGTATGTGTGTTTAGTGGAAAGTTATTTCACCACATCAACGGTTAATAATTACCCAGTGTATTACACAAGGTATAACATCTCAAAGACCGATATACCCCCGACATTACAATAATAGGTAGAGGTCCAACCCGATTTTTCTCATTAAACAAAAGTTCTACTATTTGAGTAGTTCTAATAGTATCTTCCTATTCACCCTAGCTAGATCCCCACGGTTACCTCATCCTCAACGACGCATGCCGTCGAGGCACCACGATCTGGATATCAAACAGTTCCACCGCCACCGAGGCACCACCATCTGATCATAAAAAACTTCCACCACCGTCGAGACACCACCGCCTGGACATCAAACACCTCCACCGCCAGAATTGAAACACCCCTCCTCTACGGCCCCGACCAACGCATCACGTGACAAAGTTTCTCCCATCGGTCCGTTACACTCCGATTTTTCTCTCATCGATTTCAGTATTGTTGTGTGACAGGATACGTAATCAACTATAGTCAATTAATAAATCGATTATGTTTCTTTTATAATTAATTTATTGTTTTTAGGTCTAATATATGCTTTTACGTCCAGTTTAATCCTGAATTTCCAAAAAGAAAAACATAAGGAAATGATTATCACTACTTGTTTTTAAAGGGTGGACCTATCTCAATACAATTTCAAAACGAGATTGTTCTTTTTACTAATTATCCCTTTGTTTATAGGAACCACATAACAAACTCTATATCAAGATAACCAATTAACATGCATTTTAGTGTCATTTGACCTGAGTTTGAAATTATTGGTCAGCATTTTTTAGGTTGAACTCGTCATATATCTAATGCGACTAGTCACTTCAATATATGAATAATGTTATCTCATCTCTTATATATATATTTATATATAATTGAATTTGTTTGAAAATCTAGGGCAAGGAGGGTATTTAAAATCCTAATTTGAATTACATATTGTAGAACAAGTAAAAATAAATAAATAAAATGGGGATTTGAACCCTAAGTAATTTGTTTATTAATGAAAAAAGTCACTAGTAATTGTATAAAAAAAAAAACTTAGAATATTGTGCAAATATAGAGAACCAATTAAAGTACGCCAGCTGCTATCCGACACACACTTCCCACAATAAGTGCTTTTGCCTTGTCCTCATCAAACAATAGTAGTGTATATATTTTTCTTCGATTTTCGATATTTTATCCCAAGATACATAGTTGAATAAGAATTAGGTTTACACTTTAGAACCAAAAAATAAAATTAAAAAAAAATCGAAAAAACTAATTCCGATCCGATGAATTGAAACTTTTGCCAGCTTTTATAACCCTAATCTCACTCAAAAAAATGCACCTCATTATTCCCATAATCCATATTAATTACATCCCTTCAATCCCAATTAATTTATTTTCAAAACAAGAACCGATCCCCCACGTTCAACCCCCCCAAATTCACCCCCACTCGATGTATGTATGTATATGTGTATGTATATATACATATATAGCCAGGTGTACTTTAATATTAAAAATAAAAAAAAAATAAAAAAAAGGGCTACAAATTCCCATGCAGATCTATCTCTGAAACTTGACCATGTTCACCTCCCTCAATTCCCATTAATCTTATAATTAAGTCAAAGGTCAACTCCATTATCTCTTTGTATAAATAACCAAACCCTAATCCTCCATTTTTCCCCAAGGGTCCAGCTCCATTTACTTGTGAGCTTTTTTTCCCAATCTTTCATTTCATTTTTTCTCTCTCTAGGGATTTTTCTTCTCTCTCTTCTTCCTCTTCCTCTTCTTCGTCTTCGTCTTCGTCGTCTTGTTTCGTAATCGACCTGGTTTAGAAAGCTTCTGTCAAAAAAAAAAATGGCTGAGATGAAACAGAAAACGAAGAACAGCAACAATGGAGTTTACTCGTCGTCTTCGAAGAGATCGAATAATAATAATGGATTCACAAGAAAGTGTGCTTCTTTGGTTAAACAACAACGAGCCCGCATTTACATACTGCGCCGCTGCGCCACCATGCTGCTCTGCTGGTATATTCAAGGAGACAATGATTCCTCCTCATAATCTATATTTATATATAATTATATATATATATATATATATATATATATATATATATATATATCCCTCCCATCCACCTACTTAAATAACCCTTCATTAATTTTCTCCACCAAAAGAACCAAAAATAACCCTATATATATATATTTATATAGCTATATATATATTTTCCGTATTCATCGAAGAACCCTAATAATCTTACACTAGCTTCTACCACGTCAAAATTCCAAGAATGCATATCTTCATCAGCAAGATAGAGGGTCCCCGTTTGTTTGTTCGTTTTATTTCGTTTTCCTTTATTCCTCCCCTTGATTCAGTTAGTATATATAGTGATATAGTCCAATATAAATATATGTAATCTATATATCTCTCTCCTTAAAACCCATTATTTTTTTTAAAACCTAATTGGTTATTTCCATTAGGTTTTTTTTTTTTTGGGCAAAGGAGAGACTTATATATACATACATGGAGGCTATATATATATATATATATATATATACGCTAGCTGTTTTCTTTCTTCTTTCGTTCCTTTTTTTCTTTCTTTTTTTAACAAACAGGGCATCTTGAAGAGCTAATGGGTATATGAAGAAATGGTGATGGATTTTGAATGCAAAAGGGTCTCCATATATATGTATGTATGTATGTATGTATGTATCGATCGTATATGTATATCAATGCAAGTTAATGTTTTGTGTAATAATTATTTTCCCCTCCTCATTTAATTTAAAGTATTTGGTTAAATTAAGTGTGTGAAATAAGAGGAGTTTAGGAAATACGTACACGATATTATATATGTATTGGAATAATGTGATGTTATATTTA